TTTTGCTTCTGACTTTGTTTCCGTATAGCATTTTAACGTGCTGTGCACAAACGTCTGTAATGATATGTGCATATTCATATGCGTTTATAAAGAACCGAGCCACGCAATTAATAAAGCACTGAACTACCTTGTTATATTCAGGCTAGAATGTTCTTTTAAACTCATAAAACCTAACCCAGATTATACCTCTCGCTAGAGTGGACGATTTCTGGAGCTTTGGGCTTACTGGTAGAAATGAATGCCGAAAGATGCTTTAAAAATTATGTTGTAGTCAACGTTGGATCAGCTGGTAGGCAACAATTTATTTTTATCCGCATTGAATGAATATTTGATGAGCGGAAGAGAAAAAAGCCATGTTTGCTTATGCCTGGCAATTCTTTCATGCACTCCCATTGCTATCCTCTACCGATTCATCAAAACGCTATTATTTATTCATGTCTTTTAGGTTTCTTTAACTCTTATTGTTCTCTTTATAATCTAACTTAATAACAAAGATTTTTCAGCGGCATTCGCCAATTTACCGTGTAGTGTTATATCTTCACGCTTTTGCTATTAAACATGTGCACATGAAAGCACATAGCTCTCTGATTAAGTGAAGTAATTGTCATAATAAAAATAGTGAGTAGTATTTTTACTCCATCCATTACAGAATGACTTTGCTATCTGCTTTTCCCAGCACTCTCCGATTACTTGTAATTATTTGCTTATTTAATCATTTGGTCCTATTTACCAATCCTCGTATCACGCCTTCGCTATCACAATTTGTTGTTTATTTAAACCTAGTTATAGTGTGTCCTTATGAGCCCTATTCCCACCTCCTGCCGGCTTCCTCGCCCCAGCCCCCACTGCTGTGAATATTGATCTGAGTCTGCCCTATTTGTCCCCAATCCTCTTCCCCTAGGTCATCTCAGTCTCCCTCTTTCCTCGCGTGATCCATTTCTTATTTTCCTTGTTCAAGGGGTTTCCCTCGCCCACTGCTTCTTTATGTGTGCTACTCAAGGTGTTATTTCCCACACTTCCTCAAGCCGTTGATAGCACAGATACGCCCGCCTTACTGAGCAGGCCCCCAAAATAAAGCTGAATGGGAGACTAACTTGATTCTACAGATCCTTTCATCACAGTTCGACATGTGCACCGGGTAATTCTCATAGTCAAACCTTTACTTCGCAGACTGTGTCTATGATCAAATACGTCTACTGTTAGCCAACTGACTCTGGTCTCCATCATATCTATTTTTCTTAAATCCATAATGCCAAATATATGACTTCCTATGTTTACCAACCCCCAAATGTTGTGGTTATACTTGTCTTCACTATGCTCACTGGGGAAGTCTCATCTTGATTAATAATTGTTCCCCTGTGGCCTTGCGATTTATCTCTCTCATGTTCACGATTTTTCCTTGATCTAGTCGTCTTCTTTTTGCCGATCTTGCTGCTTTCTGATTTTCTCTGAGTTATTCTAAGCAAAATGCAAAGTCTTCGCTAATCCTTCTTCAAGCCTCCTGTTCGGTAGATTTCTTTTAGTCAGAATATTGATGGCCTTTCGGATCATGCGGTTTCTCGTATTTTCCCTATTTTTAGCCACCATTTCTCCCGATTTCCAGTCGCTTTCGTGTCCTGTTCGTGCTTAACAGCCAATTGGTCGAAGTATTGACTTCCCTTGCCTCTTTGATGAGTTATAGTGTGGTGCTTAGAGTGACAAGATCCCCTGAAGATGCCGACTGCGATTCCGGTGAAACGTTTGGGAATGTACTAAGTCAACAGTCTGACTCTGGACATTATCATGTCTACTAGGTACTCCAGACAAGGTACGTTCCTCTAGGTCGTCCTGATTATACGACTAAATTGCGCAATCAGGGCCAACTTATATGCAACAAAAGGAATATCGTGACCTTAATAATGGCCACACTATCTTTGTCTCCATTCCCTCAAGGCCTAAGTTTTTCAGATTCTATATAGAATCTTATTTATAATAACCAAGTTGTTTTAGCCATTGCTTTAATGATAGTCTTTTTCGCTGTATATAATTGGTCTGAACTCGTTTGCGCAACATGGTTGGGTTGTCAGTGGGGCCTCGAAGTCCTCTGCTATAGTAGCATTGATAAAACTTAGCATCTAACCTTGGACTTGGTAGGTTTGCAGACTTTTCGCCGGCATCCTAGTCTTCTGTGAGTCTTGCTAGTCTTCAATATCTTATATGCCCGAATAATACTCAATTTCCAATCCTGACTCGTCTAAGAGATAAGCGAAGTCCATCCCTGGACCAAATTTCTGTCTAACTAACTTCTTGGCACATTTACTTGCCCCCTATCTTCGTTTCTCATTCTGTCGCTATCACAATTTTTAACTTGTTTTCATCTGACTACTCTATAGGTGTGCCTTTTTAGAAAGCTTACTGGGGCGTTATCATGCTTGTTTGTTTACCATTAATCCCCTCTTGATTTTACTGGAATGGCTGATTCGACTTCGAATTTCTGTCCGCGAACTACATCATTCAACTCCTATCTGTATCTCATTCGTGCCTCCTTTTTTTACTGGTTGATTAATTTCAATTAGTTTCAGTCATCATAAACGTTTTAAAAGTAAGCTAGCTTCGTTTTTGCAACGTGATGACAACACCTCCTTATCAATAAGACGATCGGAATAAAGTAGTTAATTTTTCACCGCTTTCTCTTGATTCCAAAACTACTACGATTCTGAAGAAGCGACTGAACATTTTTTCTCAAAATGACAAAAGCCTTCTAGATGACATATTGCTGGAGGTCATCAAAATAGCGAGAAGATGGAATGTATACTACGAGGCAGAACCAGGTATTGTGTACTAGAGAAGGACTTAGCTATAAATATAAGTATAACCTTACGTGAAATGCTGAAAAATATGCACAGGAACGTAGAAATTGCAACATCCTCGAAAAATTCAATCGTAAGAAAGGATGCACGACCAACAATAGCCTACGGGTTTAACGAAAATACACAAAGAAGGCGAACTACTAAGGCTGATAGCCAACAATAAGTATGGATCAACACATAAATCGGCAAATATATGTCTGAAATACATGAATATAAACGACAGATTGTCAAACTAAGCGAAGAAATCATATACATTTCCTCAAAGTATAAAAAACATGACACTTTAAGAAACAGAATTATTGGCATGTTTTGAGGTACCATCTATGTACACAGAAATCTCTGGAGAAAAGGCGCTAACGTCCCTGTTGGATATCTTGTACCGAGAGGAGGATATCTTAGAAGCAGAGAGGATCATGAGGAAATCGATAACACGATTAATCAACTTGACAATAAGGACTACCTATTTTACATTCAACGAGAACATCTATGAACCGACATTTAGACATCTTACAGGATCATCGCTCTCGCCTCGTTTGGCAGACGTATTAATGAACAAATTAGAAGAGAACTTTAGGATGTCACCGCAGCAACCAGGAGTGTCCATGCGGTACCTGGACGACTACATTGCACTTTTGTCGCATGCAAGAGCAAAACGGGAAGTTTTCCTGAAGGCTATAATCCAGATTTAACCAACAGTCGAACATAAAACTGATCAAGGGGATTCCCTTAGCATGTCACTTTGATAAGTAATAACTCTATACTGACGATGGCACCTTGCTTTAACGAGGTCGGCGAAATATTTGGGAATGTACTAAGTCAATGATCTGATGCTACAAATCACGAATACTGTGGCAGAAGACACATGATTAAATACATTCAATAAGTCTCCCTGACGCTCCGAACAACTTTTCAAAACGAGATCGAACCAACACTATAAAGCAGAAAGAACTTAAATTTCTGAATAATACTCAATTTCCTATCCCATCACAAATACGGGCTAAATATAGGAATAATGAACGGCATGATCATCAGAAGCCTACGATAAAAGGACGAGGAATTTTAGGATGAAGAATTGGACAAATTGGCTTGCATATGCCTTGGCAATCTATAACCGAGAGAAGTGATAGAAAGAAGCATCCGGGTTGTGGAAAGTCGATGGTAGGACTGGGATAATGAAAGCAAGGTAAGAGTGGAAAAAGACTCACAAAAGTGGGTTTGCCTACCTTCATTCGAACTAACTCAGAAAGTAACGAATCAAAAAACACCAAAGGCTCTGCATGAAAATGGATGAAGAAAGATCAGAATTAGTGGAACAAATCTCACAGACTGGACACGAGAGCAAGTGGGAGGCAACTGAAAGAATGGCCTCGTACTGAGAAAACACAAGGAAGTGTAAGATTAGAGAGGAAATAAACTTAATGAGCAGAAGATTGGAAGAAGGCAGTGTTAGCGATAACTTTTCCTATTGCTTAAGTCAACTCGGAGAAAAGGATACGACAAAACTAGCAAAAAGGAGACGCCTGGATCAACTACCTATCGCTAAACAAAGGAAAAGGGATCGCGAAGAGGTAGCGAGTGGTGAAGTTTGGAAAATAAAGCGAGGACATTTTCAGCGAGTGTTGTCAACTCGAAGACACGACTAGAACTTTGGGAGCCTGACGATCACGTGATTAAGGCTGTGTATAATCACAATTGCCACATAAATTCGCCCTTATAGCAAAATTGACTAAAAACCCACTTGAGAGATAATAGGCGGACAGAGATAGAAATATTAGCTGTATTCACCCTATTTCGCTTAAGGTGATGAAGGACTGGTAGTAGAATTTTCCCACAATGACATGAGTAGATCTGACATTTCCATTGAATTTCACATAGCCTAGCTTTGCCAAGAGGTGTTCTCATTCAGAGTTGACTGCAATTTCGACCTTGCATTTGTCTTATCAGCACTGTAAGCGGGAGTCGAACATGACAGTGCAGCGTATAGTCTCGACACGTTAACCACTACGCTGCATTGCCACGAGTGCCCTTAAGTCACAGGACAGATGTGAATTTCAAGGAATGTCAGACATTTGCCATATCACATTCTGTGTTGGGATAGTCGATGAAGCAAACCTACTAACTTACGAAAAGAGATAGAATTACATTGTTTGCTCAGGATACACGAGTTGAATCAGGATGACCCGTGAAGGCAATGCCTAATATCCCATGCATGCAATCAGAGCCTAGGCGCTCCCCAGGTAAGGCGACGTACTTGCTACTGAAGGCATAAGAAATAGGGCCTAAAGTAAAACGTAGACTAGGACTGAAACCAAGTGAAATCGGTCAACCATGAAGATAAGAAACGAACCTACGGACCTATGAGGCAGATCCGGATAGGAGGCCCGAGTCGGGTCGGCCAATCGAGAGGGGGAACAAAGTGAACAGAGGTAGGATGGCGCCACACTCAAGTCGTTAAAACGTGCACACCTCTTGAGAAGTGGAATATAAACAAGTAAGAAGTTCTGATAGGTCTGGATTAAGGTAAAAGAGTAGGGCGTTTATAAATTGGTCAAGACAGAAAGGAGAGTGATAGCACAACCGTTTCGACATAAAAATATTGACATACCTTTCATTTCGTTTGAGAAGGCGGGTCAAGAAGATTACTTGATTGGCCCCACGGGATACCACAGGATGGTTGTCTTGGACTTTTGTCTGTTGGACTATGCGAAGAGAACCTCGGCTCACCATCCTCCGACTCCGATGACTCTGTACTGAGTTTTTGTCCATCATGTGACCGACATCGTCAGAGCCATAAACCATTATTCACGAAAAAATCATCACAAAACACTAAACCGAGAAAGATGGCCAGCTGAGATCCTACTGGAAGACCAGTTCTACCGGTAAGAATGGATTCTCATAGTCACTTGTATTCGTCAGTTCCATTCCTTGCTCCTTCCTCTTCATTAAGCTTTCCCATTTTTCAACCAACCAGATTTCCGTACTCTTGCCTTGTTGGGCAAATATGTCGGACATCATGGGTTATAGATATGAAGACAAAGGTGGTGTGGCCTTATGTTTGCTCGCAGTATTCTTTAGCTGTATTTTGTTGATTTGACCGCGTTTTCACAACTTATTCGGAATGGCAGGAAGACCTCGAAGAACGTATCTAATCCTACGTCCCCTGTCATATTATGATAATTTCTAGCACCAGACTTTTAATTTAGTGCATAAGGACACGCAAATGAATATCCTTTGTTACTAAATTACATTTCTTACCTGTCTCTTTATTCCTCTCCTGTAGATTTAATACCCGAGCGTCGAAGCTCAAATGGTCATCGTCACCACTATGAGATGTGAGCAAAAGCAGGGGAAACGGGCTTCTATAAACGTCTCGCACTTCGATCACATTAATTATAATCGACATCCAACAACCTAAGAATCTTCTGCTTTTTCATAATGCCAATTCTCCATGAATCATATTTACAAATCAGTTGCGTAAGAGGCCAGCAAAATGCACTTTGCTGACAAAAGTTTATTACTTCCCCACAGATAATCTATGCTTGATATACATATTCCTTATTCTTTTGCCGACAGCTACAAATGAAGCACCATATCATTCGCAGTTTCAACATTATTTACCTTCACTTTCCCTTGAAATAATTATGCCCAAATTATTTGAATTATTTGGAATGGTATCTATGCCATATTTTCT